TTTTTTTGTTTTTTTTGACAGGCAGAGTGGACAGTGAGAGAGAGAGAGAGAAAGACAGAGAGAAAGGTCTTCCTTCCATTGGTTCACTCCCCTAATGGCCGCTATGGCCGGTGCTGCGCCGATCCAAAGCCAGGAGCTGGGTACTTATCCAGGACAGTGAGAGAGAGAGACAGAGAGAAAGGTCTTCCTTTGCCGTTGGTTCACCCTCCAATGGCCGCCACAGCCGGTGCGCTGCGGCCGGCGCACCGCGCTGATCCGATGGCAGGAGCCAGGTACTTATCCTGGTCTCCCATGGGGTGCTGGGCCCAAGTACTTGGGCCATCCTCCACTGCACTCCCTGGCCACAGCAGAGAGCTGGCCTGGAAGAGGGGCAACTGGGACAGAATCCGGCGCCCAGACTGGGACTAGAACCCGGTGTGCCAGCGCCGCAAGGTGGAGGATTAGCCTAGTGAGCCGCGGTGCCGGCCAGATCTGATTGAAGTATTTCCACATGGAAATATTAAGAGGACATTTTGTTGTAGGAGTCTGAAGTTCATGTAAGAGATCCAGGGTGGATATATAAATGTGCTTTATTTAAAGCCATGAGATTGGGTACAATAATCAAGAGAATGGGGTCGCTGCTGTGGTATAGCGGATAAAGCCGCCGCCTGCAGTGCCGGCATCCCATATGTGTGCTAGTTAGAGCCCTGGCTGCTCCACTTCTGATCCAGCTCTGCTGTGGCCTGGGAAAGCAGTAGAAGGTGGCCCAAGTCCTTGGGGCCCTGCACCCGTGTGGGAGACCTGGAAGAAGTTCCTGGCTCCTGGCTTCAGATCAGCTCAACTCCTGCCATTGTGGCCAATTGGGGAGTGAACCAGCGGATGGAAGACCTCTCTCTTTCTCTGCCTCTCCTTCTCTCTGTGTAACTCTGACTTTCAAATAAATAAATAAATCTTAAAATAATCAAGAGAATGAATGTAGACAGAGAAGCAGTCCAAAGACAAGCACCCTACAAGACTATAATTCAAAGTGAAAAGAAGGGAAGGAACCAGCAAGAGACTGAGGCTTCCTGGCACTTGTCTCTGAGAATCTGAATGCAATTTCCCCATTTTCCAAAAAAAAAAAAAAAAAAATCAAATAAAGCACACAAAATTCTAAGTAGTTTTGGTATTGTTCTATCATTTTTTTTCAACTCATAATAGGCTCAACCTGTTTATAGAGGGCCATATAGGAAAGTTAGAGAACCCAGAGCAACCTCTGACATCTTTTAAAGTACAAATTGCGGGCCAGGTGCTGTGGCTCACTTGGTTAATCCTCTGCCTGCAGTGCCGGCATCTCATATGGGCGCCGGGTTCTGTCCCGGTTGTTCCTCTTCCAGTCTAGCTCTGCTGTGGCCCGGGAGGGCAGTGGAGGATGGCCCAAGTACTTGGGCCCCTGCACCCGCATGGGAGACCAGGAGGAAGCACCTGGCTCCTGGTGTTGGATCGGCGTAGCTCTGGCCGCATTGGCCATTTGAGGGGTGAACCAACGGAAGGAAAACCTTTCTCTCTCTCTCTCTCACTGTCCAACTCTATCTGTCAAAAAAAAAAAAAAAAAAAAGAAAGAAAGAAAGAAATTGCTAGAAATCTGCAAACCTTGTCTAGAGCCCTTTGAAATCCAGGGATGCCATAAAACTGTTCTTGTTACATCACGGGGACTCTATTGATTAATCATGTCTGCAAATGATCTGTTAAGTTGATTCATCTGTTGGTTCCCTTCGCTTAATTTTCCTCAGCTCTGTAACATCTTTGAATAACTAGCACTTCCATTTCAATTAGGAGGCTTTCTTCAAAAAATTTATTTCTAATTGCTGTTATGTCTTAAAATCTGACTTAGTGGGGCTGGCACTCTTACACAAGTTAAGTCACAGCCTGCAGCACTGGCATCCCATATGGGCACCAGTTCAAGTCCCAGCTGCTCCACTTCCTATCCAGCTTACTGCTAATGTTCCTGAGAAAGCAGTGGAAGATGGCCCAAGTGCTTGGGCCCTTGTACTCACATGAGAGATCCAGAAGAAGCTCCTGGTTTTGGCCTGGCCCAGTCCCAGTCATCATGGCCATTTGGGGAGTGAACCAGCAGATAGAAGATTGATATCTCTCTCTGTCTCCCTCAGTCTCTGTAACTCTGCCTTTCAAATAAATAAATAAATATTTTTAAAAAATAAAATCCGATTTATCTCAGAGATAACTAGAATGTTGATTATAAAATGAATTTTATAGTTGAGTCTTCAAGTGCCATTCAGATAGCCCTCTCATTGTGAAGACAGTCAGTGACTGAGGCCCAGAGAGATTAACTGATTCCCTGGTCACATAGTTGTAGTCCTAGTCCATAGGTGTTGCACTGCCATCTTCAGTTGAATCTTTGTATCTGTTACATGTCTTCTGTCATATGGTGTAATGACAAGCAATCTAGAATAGCAGTGAAGAGTGCAGACTCAGGAGCTATACTTCCTGGGTTTAAACTCCGGCATGACCACTTCACTACTTTGGCTAAGTGACTTAACCTCTCTATGCCTCAGTTTCCTCGTCTGTAAAGTGGGGGTAATAGTATCTGTTAGAATTGTGACATGAAAATGAGCCAATATATTTAAATAATTAGAGGTGATTGAGATCTGTTTCATTTGTTTCTAAAGTCTGTAAGTTCCTAATTCTGGATGAGAATAAGGCTTTGGGAATACTTTCATTGGCCTTAGAATCATGGATTTTTTAGGTCATTTATTAATTTAAGAATGGATTATTTGGAAAGTCAGACAAGTAGCCCAAGTGCCTGTATAACTTGAGAATATGTTCTGACACATACCTGGGGAATTCTGAATAAATTTTAAAGGGAATTGCTGAAGTAGGGGGAAAGAAATTAATAGAAGAAGAAGAAACAAGGGGTAAATGTTTTAATCCTGCTGGGAACACTTTGAACTTCGGATCAAATCAAGTCCCCTATAAGTTTCTCTGTCAGTGAAGCCGGTTTTTATGTTTATAACTAAATTACTGTCTCACTCACGCTGCTCCACGAGTCGTTTCCAACAGTTCTGGTTTTGTAGATCTTTACCGTTTTTCCCCTGCCTTTTTTCTTTGAGTAAGGAACAGCCCTTTTTCCTATTTTTCTAATTTTTCACAGCTTTGATTCTGGCTTTTTACTGAATCTTTTCTCTCAGGCAGTAATTTTTAATCTTGTCACTTCATCGTGTGGAACTTGTCTATCTGCTGGGGGGTATGCGGCGGTTTTTCTGACCCCTCCCCACCACGGGCAGTCTCTGTGCCATTCTCCTTTTAGGTAAAATCCTAGGTCTGCTTTTGCTGTCGCTTCTCTCCAACTGATTGCCTAATATGGTAAGGTATTTCCCAGACAAGATTTCACCGTTGAGATAGAACAACAGTTTGGTTAAGTCTAAAGAAACGGTAGGTGAGTGCTCAGATAGAGTTAGTTATGTAGTAACGTAATATTTTTTGCAGTGTGCTGTATAATAATCCCAATTTTTTTTAAAGCAAGCCTCTATTGCTTTTAACAGTTAATAGAATAACAAAATATATTTCTCTCCTCAACCTCTTTAGACAAACAGTGGGGTATAGGGAGGTAGTTTGTTCCCAGAATGAGAGAATTCTAAGAAAATTGAAAACCTGATAGTGTTTATAAGGATATAAAAGTAAGAATACATTTAGTAAGCAGTGGCTGTTATAAACAGTCCTGTCATAGCCAGCCTCAGGGAGTTGGCAGGCCTTGTACATGCAGACAGCAAGCTGTCCCAGATCTGTACAATTGATGATGATGGGGAGTCCCAGGAAAGGAGCAGACATTGAGAAATGGCAGTCCACCAACTCTGCGTGTGGGAAGCTGCCTGTTATCCACTGTGCACTGAAGAATCCTCTAGGGCAAGTATGTGGCATAGCAGGTAAAGCCACCGCCTGCAGTGCCGGCATCCCATATGGGCACTGGTTTGAATCCTGGCTGCTCCACTTCCAATCTGGCTCTTTGTTATGGCCTGGAAAAGCAGTGGAAGGTGGCCCAAGTCCTTGGGCCCCTGCACCCCCATGAGAGACCCAGATGAAGCTCCTGGCTTCAGATTGGCAGAGATCCAGCCATTGCGGCCATTTGGAGAGTGAACTAGCAGATAGAAGAACTCTCTCTATATATACCTCTGCCTCTCTGTAACTCTGCTTTTCAAATAAATAAATCAATCTTAAAAAGAAAAAAAATGGGGCTGGCACTGTGGCGTGGTGGGTTGAGGCCCTGGCCTGCAGCGCTGGCATCCCATATGGGTGCCAGTTCACGTCCCGGCTGCTCCTTTTCCAATCCCGCTCTCTGCTATGTCCTGGGAAAAGTGATGGAAGATGGCCTAGGTCTCTGGGCCCCTGTACCCACATGGGAGACCTAAAAAAAGTTCCTGGCTCCTGGCTTCCAATCAGCTCAGCTCTGGCCATTACAGTCATTTAGGGAGAGAACCAGCGGAATGGAAGATGTCTTCCTCTCTCTGGCTCTACCTCTCTGTAACTCTTGTCTTTCAAATAAATAAAATAATTCTTTCAAAAAAAAATAAAGAATCTTCTTCACGTTGGCCTGGAAGGATCTTTCCTCGCACTGTACACTTACTCTTGCTTAGCAACTGTAGTTTCTTAAAATACTGCAGATAGTATGATTTTCTATATATGGGTTGTGCCTTGCACTGGCCCAGGCTGTGTAATCCATCTTAGGAACAAAGTTTCTTTTGGCATCTTCCTTTTATGGACTCTGTTAGTTTAGGTCATGCTGTTGCCAGGGAAATCTCAGCAATCAAAGCTCACATGTACTCCTTTGAGACCCTGTAATTTTTGGACCCGATGTCCCCTTACATCAGTGAATTCTGTTTTAATCAGAATTTTTTTTGATAGAATAAATTGACCTCAAGGTATCTATTTCCACATCCAAAGATGTAGAAAGTTTATACAGCTACTGAGGAGAGCATAGTTAACCTTTGACTGTACTTTCTTCTGATTTCTTCCTCTGCCAACAGCTCCTGTAGTGACGCAGCAACCTGTGACCTTACGTCTTTTTGTTGGACAGGCACTGATGAGCTTGACTCTCTGCTGGAACTCTTTGTGTGTATGATTATAGAAGATAATGCGTTCCATTAAGGATCATTTATGAAGTATGGGAAAGTGTAAAGCAGTGGTTCTCAAAAATAGTGGTTACATTTCAGGAAGGTGTACAATTCATAGGGCACCTCAGGGGACAAAGCAATGATGGGAGGGACTAATCTTTTTCCTTCTTTTGAAGGAGCAGTTCTATAAATTCAGTCACCATGCAAATTGAGGGAAAATTGTACTTAGTTTTACTCATCCCTGGCAGCAGTGACACTTGTATCATGATGACATTATACAATACTATAATTATATTCCACAGGTCAGCATTTGACCTCTGCCTTCACAATGATTCTACAATGTATTCAGAATCACTTCGGGTAGTGTTACTGACTCAAGAATTAACACATTATGGGCCGGCCCCGCAGCTCACTAGGCTAATCCTCTGCCTGCGGCACCGGCACCCCGGGTTCTAGTCCCCGTCAGGGCACCGGATTCTGTCCCAGTTGCCGCAGCGGCCATTGGAGGGTGAACCAACGGTAAAAGGAAAACCTTTCTCTCTCTTGTCTCTCTCTCTCACTGTCCACTCTGCCTGTCCAATAAATAAATAAATAAATAAATAAATAAAAAAGATTAACACATTATGGAGCTGGTGCTGTGGCATTGTAGGTTAAGCCGACACCCGCATCCCATGTGGGTGGTACTTGTTCAAGTCCCAGTTGCTCCAATTCCAATGCAGCTCCCTGCTAATGTGCCTGGAAAAGCAGCAGAGGATGGCCCAAGTGCTTGAGCACCTACACCCATGTGGGAGAACCTGGAGTATGCTCCTGGCTCCTGGCTTCACCCTGACCCAACCCTGGCCATTATGGCCATTTGGGGAGTGAGCCAGCAGACGGAAAACTTCTCTTTCTCTTCTTCTCCTTCTCCCTCTTTGTAACTCTAGCTTTGAAATAAATAAATAAAAAGAATTAACACATTAAAGTACATATTTTATTATAAATTACTTTTATTTTTTTATATTGTTATTTTTATGAATTTAGATAAATTTTACTTAGCTTACTTTTTAATTTGTGGAGGAGAGATAGAAACATAGAGCATGAACTCATATCTGCTGGTTCACTTTCCCAGATGCCCAAAATGGCCAGAGTTAGACTAGGGCCAGAGCCATGAGCCAGGAAGACAAGCCAGGTCTCTCTGCGGGGACAGGAACACAACTACGGGAGCGAGGAGCTGGAGCTGCGAATCCAACCCAGGTGCTCCAGTGTGTGATACAGGCATCTTAACCGCGAAGCGGAACACCTGCCTGCTCTCTAGCTAAGTCTGATATCAACGAGTTTCATTTCAGGATGGTAAAGGGTGGGGGTATTTAAAAATGCTTGTAAATTGGAGACTGTTTCTTTTATATAGGGTAAGAAAAGACTCCATAACCATGCTATTCAGAAGAAATTGTTAACATTTTTACTGGTGTTTGTCTAAGTTTGCTTTTTTGAAAAAAGAAAATGTATTCAAAACCAACTAATGATATTCTTGGAAAAGGATCATTTTCAATTTGTGCATTCCTAGGACCCCATCATTGCCATGATGACAATTTCATAAGGTTGTCTTCAAAGCACTTGGGTTCAACTCTTTTATCAAAGTACAGTCCCATGATGACTTTGATCATAGAGAGCCTCCAGGAATAATTGTTCCTTTTTCAACTGGAGTCTAAGGGTTACCTTGGTTACAAGAGTATTCATTTCTTCTGTTGATAGCATGGCTAGAGAGTCTTAACCATGGCTTAGGCTTAGCTAATGTTAGAGTTCTAGCCCCATGATTGGGGTAGAAGGCTTACTGTGGGATTTGAAGCCCCTTTTCAGCAAATGGAGTGTTTATAGATTTGCCCCAGCAGGAATGTTGAGCTTGAGGCACTAGCAGATGTTGTCTATAAAAGTGTTATTTTGGCAAGACCTAAAATGTAGGATAGTTAGAGTGAAAATGTAAAGGTGAAAGTTTACAACCTACCAATTTTCAGTTTCCAATCAAGTAAGTTCAAGAATCAGCTAGCATCCATTAATGACATGAATCTATTCACAGAGAAATGATAGTTTTGTATCAAAATATGATCCTGTAAGGTATATACTCATAAATATGCACAAGGATATACCTTAATTAGTGTGTGCTTTTAAAACTAGGGTTTTTTTAAATTATTTTTTGTCTTTCTTTCTTTTTTTTTTTTTTTTTTACTGTTTTTGCGTGCTGAACTTCTTACACATTGAACTGCTCTAGTGTTATGTTATTGCCAGGAAAGGGGGGATATTTTTAAGTCCTTTAGCAAATTAGTGGCTCAAACTAAAATACAGATGATCTTGGAGCTTATAGTTCTTTTCATACTTCTGAAATTTTTTTCAGGTAATAGAAGCATTTTAACAGGAAAATATTACATGTTGGGTATTATATCACCAAATAGTTTGTACTTTAAGATGGTGTTTCCCTAAGAGTTGGGGGACTTTCAAAAGTGATATTCCACACTGGTGAGTCATATCACTGTCTCTGGTGACTGAGTGCCAAGTTTCTTGTTTCCCAAGAGTCCAGTGTAGGCTGCTGTGAAGATAAATGCCCAGCATTTCTGAGACCTGAAGAGAGGGCAGATATGTGTGCCTGCTGCCCAGCAGTTCCGTTAGGGAAGGACAGACACAGCAGGGTCGGCCTGGTCTTCATCTTTGGCATATTAGAGCTACCCACACGCCAAGTACGCTGCTCTCCTGCAATCAGGAGCAGGTCCTACAGTTTATTGGTTGAACTGGAGGCAGCTGTGTAGAAGCTGTTTCCTCCTCTCCCAGCGCCATATTGAAGTCAAGGTCAGCAAACTTCTCATGTGATGAGCCTGACAGGAAATATTTTCTACACAGTCTGTTGCAATTTCTCAACTCTGCTGTTATACTTAGGAAAGCAGCCCTAGACAATATGTAAATAAATGAACGTTGCTATATTCAAATAAAACTTTATTTATAAAAGCAGGCCCAGACAGTTTTCTGGTCTGTGCTCTAAGATACTGCTCCAAAAAGCGTTTGTTGATGTCAGTGTGACTCTAAATGTCAGTTTTCTTTCACCCAAGTGCTTCTCGGGCGGCTCAGTGTTTTCTCAAGTGCCCTGGTTCTTTGTTGTCATCTATAGTTTGTAAGGCAAGGGGAATCTGGCTGGGGGAATGCGTGTTTGTCCTCACTGGAGAAAGCATCAATAGCTTTTGGACGTGCAACAGGAAGCAGACTGTTAAACTTTCTGAATGACAGTGTAAAGGTAGTTATTCCCAAGTCATCTTGAATGTTTCTCTGTTCTGTTTCTCCTCTGAGCATAAAGTCTGAAACAGGTGTCTGTTGCTCCCCGTCTTCGTGGAGGAACGACACAAGACCCTGCGCTGTTCTTTTGTCTGCTCGGCCCTCCCCGGGTTTGCTGCTGGTTCTTCCCGGGTTGGCTACCGTCCCTTCCACCTCCGTGGAAGGGCGGTTCCCCCTAGCCACTTTCCCCACTTCCACAGGGGAGCGGCACACCACCGGCCGGCTCTCTCGGGGGCTGCTCAGGTGTTCCTTTAGATGTTCCTCTTAGATGTTCCTGGTGCATGTTGTCTCTCTCCTCCTTTATAGTCCTCTTCCACCAATCCCAACTCTGCTACCCACACGCCAAGTACGCTGCTCTCCTGCAATCAGGAGCAGGTCCTACAGTTTATTGGTTGAACTGGAGGCAGCTGTGTAGAAGCTGTTTCCTCCTCTCCCAGCGCCATATTGTGGGAGAGCAGATGCATAGAATAAGTCTTAATTCCAGTAACTTAGTCTAGTCCGAGTTGCTCCCAGTTGCTCCCCACAGGTGTCCTAGTGTGTCCTCTGTTTTTCCCATCTGATCCTGTTCCTTGTTACCTTCCAATGACCTGTCTCTGAGAGTAGCTAAAATTACAGTTGGGGAATATACCATCACTTGATACCTGAGAAATCTTGACATTAATTGGCCGGCACTGTGGCACAGTAAGTTAATCCTCTGCCTGTGGCGCTGGCATCCCTTATGGGCACCAGTTCTAGTCCCGGCTGCCCCTCTTCCAATGCAGCTCTCTGCTATGGTTTGGGAAAGCAGTGGAAGATGGCCCAAGTCCTTGGGCTCCTGCACCCATGTGAGAGACCAGGAGGAAGTACCTGGCTCCTGGCTTCAGATCATAGCAGCTCCGGCTGTTGTGGCCATCTGGGGAGTGAACCAACAGAAGGAAGACCTTTCTCTCTGTCTCACCCTCTCACTGTCTGTAACTCTACCTCTCAAGTAAATAAATAAAATCTTAAAAAAAAAAAAAAAGAAAAGAAAAGAAAAAGAAATCTTGACGTTAAGCAAGATTGCCTTTAAGGTTCACAGGGACTCAGAGGTGCCTGTCAGAAGATTGTTAGTTGCTGGTTGTCACTTGAATTCTGAGTCAGGAGTACATTATGGAATTTATTAGTCTCTTTGCCGTGTCAGCTCTCTGCCTACTGAACACATGCAAGAAGAACTTTGTAAAAGGGGGTGACGGAAATCGTCAAAACTTCTACTGTGTCCTTGCTTGAAATGGTTGTTACAATGTGTGGATTTTGGGAAAGGGGAGCTGAAATCCTGATTTTTCAACAACTTTCAGGAAAAAAAGTGATGAAACTTGATGTCACTAAAGTGAATAGTGAAGACTCATAAGTTGTGAGAATTGTGTATCAGTTGGCACAATTATCTCATGACCAGGAAACAAAATAAGATTCTTTCTCAAGAAGAAGGAGAGTATACCCACCGTGTGTGGCATGTTGTCAGAGAAGGCCTCTTCTAGGTTTTATCAGATGTTTCATCTAGTCTAGTGTGAGCATTTCTAGTGAAACATTATTTGGGCATCCTGCAGATCCTTTCTGGGGTGCTTGACTCAGATCTAAGGGCACTTGTGGTTCCAGGTAGCCAGCAAGCTGAGCCATTCTCAGTAGCAACAGCCTAATGGGGGGAAGCTTCTATAGTAGGCTCCCTCAGGCTTGTGAGTTAGAGTCACTGAGGTCATCTGTTTGTGGTGTAGTGGGTGAAGCCACCACCTGCAGTGCTGGCATCCCATATGGGCACTGGTTCAAGTCCCGGCTATGCCACCTCCGATCCAGCTTTCTGCTATGGCCTGGGAAAGCAATAGAAAATGGCCCAAATCCTTGGGTCCCTGCACACGCGTGGGAGACCTGGGAGAAGCTCCTGGCTTTGGATCAGCGCAGCTCTGGCTGTTGTGGCCAATTGGGGAGTGAACCAGCGGATGGAAGACCGCTCTCTCTCTCTGCATCTCCTTCTCTCTCTGTGTAACTCTGTCTTTCAAATAAATAAATAAATTTTCAGGCCTCTCAGGATTCTGAACTAGAAGGAGACACGGTAGTGGAGAGTGGAAAGCCTAGAAATCTGTATTATTAAAGTCCCCGATGTGATCTTTGAGGATAAAAAATAAAACTCAGCAGGATTTTCTATTTTACTGGATGTGGATGGTAAAGCATAGAATCTAGGTGGTTGAGAAGTACACTGAGTTCTAGAAATAGCATTGGCTTTGAAGCCAAAGACCAAGGTTCAAAGCTGGTTCCATCTCTTAGCAATTGTATCACCTTGGAAAAGCAATTTGTCATCTCTGAACTCTGTGAGTTCTTTAATCTGTAAAAATGAGATTAGTGACCCTATTTTGTAGTCTTGTTATGAGGAACAGCAAGCAATAGTAATGTATTTAAACTGATAATCAAATAAAAGCAAACGACAGGTATGATAGTATTTTGGCCAGTCTATTTCCTCCATTCTGAGCCTTCACATAAATTATTTCCATTCCCAAGATTCCCCCTCTTCTTTTTTACTACCCCTTCTTTCCCCCCTCCTTTAGTAAACACATGTTCATATTTAGGTTACGTTCCACCTCCTCCAAGAAGCCTTTCTTTGACTCTTCCCCATCTCAGACTAGATTTCCCTTGCTACTCTAAATTTATCTTTAATATACAATGATAATCATATAATCATATAATGTTGTATTTGACAATTAATTATTTAAAGGTGGAGTCTGTTTCTTGTTAATTATTTTACTCTTAGTATCTAGCAGAGTAACTGGTAAATCTTTAAAGATTTGTCTGTGGGGCTGGCACTGTGGTGTAACAGGTTAGGCCAGTAGCTGTTCTGGCTACTCCATTTCCAATCTAGCTGCCTGCTAACATGCTGAGAAAGCTTTCTCAGCATGTTAGCAGGCCCCTGTACCCACATGGGACACCCAGAGGAAGCTCCTGACTCTTGGCTTCAGATCAGCCCAGCTCTGGCCTTTGCGGCCATTTGAGGAGTACATCGCAGATGGGAGATATCTTTCCTTCTCTCTAACTCTGCCTTTTAAATGAAGAAATCTAGGAAGGAAGGAAGGAAGGAAAGGAAGGAAGGAATATTTACTTGTTTGAAAGGCAGAGCAAGAGAGAGAGAGATTATCTTGTATCTACTAGTTCACCCTCACCCCTCAAATGGCTGTAACTGCCATGTGTGGGCCAGGCTGAAGCCAGGAGCTGGGAACTCCATCCTGGTCTCCCATATGGCTGGGTCTCAAGTGCTTGTGCCAGGTTTTGCCTTCCCAGGCACATTAGCAGGAAGCTGGATTAGAAGTATAGTAACGAGGACACAAACCAGCACTCCACCATGGGATGCCATCACCACAAGCCACAATGTAAGCACTGCACCATAACACCAGCCCCATACCTAGTATTTGTATGTTTCCTATGAATATTTGGAGGACAGTTCAGTCAATGACTTTCGTTTCTCTGATGATGATGAATGGGGGTAATTTACCAATAATGAGATTGGGAATTCAGGAAGAAGAACATATTTGAGATTGAAGATAATGATTTTGCTTTTGGATATGCTGAATTTGAGGTACTTACCAAACATAGGAAAGCGAATGTGCTATATGCAGTCAAGTATAGGACCTGAAGTATAGGGACGTCCCAGGGCCAGGGATAATGATTTAGAAGGTATCAGCCTGATGCTGGTCATTTTAAAGTATGAAAAAAATAGCATGTTCTAAGTTTAATGTGGAAGAGAGTGATTCTCACTTTTTTTGTTCCCAGTATTCTGAGGGATATGAAGCATTTATGTGACTGATTCACTGTTAAAATGATTCTGAAGCTGGGGGGATGGTGAAGGGAGCTCACTCCCCAGGAGGGGTCTGCAGAATGGTGTACTGCTAGGGGCAGCCACTGTGGTGAAAAAGAAGAGCAGAAGCTGAGGTCGGCGACCTGGGCAAACCAGCCTTTCAGACGATGGATGAGACTGAGGAAGAAGAGCATCCCCCATACAAGGCAATGAAAAGTCTCAAGGACACTATCTGACAGAAACTATGTAGCTCACGCACAAAGGCATATGTCACTGGGAATTCTGTCTGTTGAACCTGGCCTGGCATCAGGCGTGGCTAAATCTGGGGAGTTTAAACTTTATCAGCAGGGCTCTCTCTGCTGCCTTCTTTGCATAGACCATAAAGGAAGAGACTGTCTATCCTAGTGTCCATCTATCTAATTGACCTTGCTAGAGTCAGGTCCTTGACCTCATTTCTGTAGCCAGAGATTCCATAAGACTGAGGTAGAGAGGCAGTGAAGCAGAGTGGTTCAGAGCCTGAATTCTAAGCCAGGTTGAGTTCAGATCCCTGCTCTTTGGCTCGGGCAGATTGTGTACTCTTCCTATGCCTTAGTTTCTGCAGTTCAAAAACGGGCAAATCATAGTCCTTATCACATAAATCCTTTCTGTAGATGAGAAGACATAGGAAGTGGACAGAACAGTGTCTGTCATGTAATAAATGCTCAATAAATGCCTGCTGCCTTGGTGATGCTAGTGAGTGGTGTGGCAGTGGAATGATGAAGAAGGAGCAGGAACAGTTACCACTTGCTATAGGGACAGGGTTAGGAGAGGGCAACTACGCTGGTAGAAAATAGAGATTCTGGCCGGCGCCGTGGCTCAATAGGCTAATCCTCTGCCTTGCGGCGCCGGCACACCGGGTTCTAGTCCCGGTCAGGGCGCCAGATTCTGTCCCGGTTGCCCCTCTTCCAGGCCAGCTCTCTGCTATGGCCAGGGAGTGCAGTGGAGGATGGCCCAGGTGCTTGGGCCCTGCACCCCATGGGAGACCAGGAAAAGCACCTGGATCCTGGCTCCTGCCATCGGATCAGCGTGGTGCGCCAGCTGCAGTGGCGGCCATTGGAGGGTGAACCAACGGCAAAAGGAAGACCTTTCTCTCTGTCTCTCTCTCTCACTGTCCACTCTGCCTGTCAAAAAAAAAAAAAAAAAAAAAAAAAAAAGAAAAGAAAGAAAATAGAGATTCTGTTACCAAAGGAAGTGCAAGTGGGATCTGCATTTGGTGCAGCATTAGGACACCACTTGGAATGCCCAAACCCTTTGTCAGAGCACCTGAGTTTGAGTCCCAGGTCTACTTCCCACTAATGCATTCTGGGAAGCAGCAGGTTATGACTCAAGAACTCGGATTCCCGCCAATCATGTGGGAGACTGAGATGCAGTTCCCAGCTCCTGGCTTCTGCCTGGCCCAGCCCTGGCTGTTGTGGGCATTTAGAGTGAACCTGGAAATGGAAGGTCTCTCTCTCTCAATCTCTCTCAATCAATCTCTCTCTCTCTCTCTCTCATGTCTCTCTACCTTTGAAATAAAAAAAAATTTTAAGTTCTTTTAAGAAAATAAAGAGGGGAAGAGATAAAGTAGTAGAAAGACAAGCTGTAGCGAGCAGCAGTCATCTGTTGTCACATCCAGTACCCTCCAGAGCTGCAGTACCCAGGGGTCTGGCAAAAGGAGAAATTGCTGACTTGTTAGAGCAGTCTGGTGGGGCTGGGCTCTGAAGCCGCAAAAGAGTAAGACCTCTTTGTGACTCATCTGCATTTAGAGACTTTGATGGATTTTCTGGGGTTGATGGTCTTTGATTAGTAGCCATTGGCTTAATGGGCAGAACTCCAAGACATTTTGCTGTAGGGGAAAAAAAACAAACACAGGAGTTGAGACGGATCTAATCATGTCATTGGGCACACCGTGGTGACTGACTGCTTCCATGCTGGACTCTGGATTGCTTCCCCTTTGCAGTCCCCGTCCTGCACTTCTGCTTTCTCTCCTTGTTGAGACAGACAGACGATAGGTCAACATTCTTGTGAGAACAGATAGACACAGATCGGCATCCTTGCCTATGCCCGCAAGGATAGCTTGAAGGCATGAAAAGCAATTATACTTCTGCCCCCAAGGAGCGTTCGCCACCTGTATGCTAACAGTGATGAAAGGAGCTGGTTCCTGGATTCATGAGTGAGGTGTGAGTGTCAGTATCTGGCAGGTTCTCAGTACTGAGAGTGTTGCCTAAAACTCCCTTTTTTCTGACGGTGTGTCTGCCTTTTCTCTGTCTAGCTTACTGGTTCACAGAAGGCATTCAGAGAGAAAGCCTAATTCAGAATTGGCCAAGTTCTTCAAAGGCACCCCACAATTACCTTAGCTGAAGAAGTGCTCACTGAATGCAGTTGTGGGACACAACTCTAGGTTAATCCAGAATGGCTTCCTAAAAGACAGGTTTGAGCTGAAGTGTTACAGAAACCTGTTCTTCCCAGCTGTCCCTCACTCCATTTATAGCATTACTCCAGAAAAATTTCATCAATAAATCAAAACTATATAAAACAGACCTTCATAAAGTTCATGGAGAATGTGTATTATGAAAAACCTATGGATTTCAAAATTTTTGCACCAAAATAAACTTACTTAATTCCATTTTCCATAAATTTTAAAATTAATCTTGTATGAGAAAAAGTCAGGAACTAAGAGTTCTAGTTTACGTCTTTACCAGTTGCTGTGACCCAAGCTTGCTCTGTGAATAATCTGTTCCAGCTGTATATTTCAGGTTAGTTCCTTAAAATTTCTTCCAGAATTTATTTCCTAAAAATAGTCATTTTTTTTTACTACAACCAACAACTGAGCTTCAAGTAATGAATCCGATTTAGATAGTAATGATTATTAGAAAGATATTTCAAAATAGCTAATAAACATAAGAGAAAGTGTACAAACTCACTAACATTCAATTCTCTATAATGAAGTAGGTTTTTAACACTAATCCTAATAAACAGTGCCTTTGAAAATAAAATACCCAATTTAGATGAGAATATTGAATTGAGAATACAGCCTTTTCATATTTGCTGTTAAGAATGCAAATTAATAATTCCTTTTTGGGAAACAAATTGCCAAACTATGAAAAGCTCCAAATTATTTGATACAGAATTTCCCCTTATGGAAACCTATTTCTAGGGAAGAATCCTAAATATAAAATACAGAAAGCTGTGTGCACAGAAATTTTCATCACGGGGTATATGTGAGTTCTACAAACATTTAGTCAGTCATCCAACAGATGCTTGATTTCTTACTATGTGGAAGACGGTTGGGCCCTATTGAACAAAACACAGTCTGTTTAGCTGTTTACAATCATGGAAATTTGGAAGCACTCTTAAGTGTCCAATAATCTGGCAGTAGTTCAGTACACTGTGACTCATCCACGCAGTGGATACTATGAATCATAGTTTGTCCTACTGTTCCCGCATTTGGGAATGTTTTCTTGGAATACAGTATAAGGTAACAATCAAAAATTTTTTACGGGTGCGCGTTGTAGCACAGCAGGTTAAATCACTGCTTGGGACACCTTTATCCCCTTAGAGGTGCTGGTTTGGATCCCAGTTACTTCACACTCCCAATCCAGTTCCCTGCTAATAGGCCTGGGAGGCAGCAGGTTATGGCTCAGAGCACTCGGGCTCCTGCCACCCACGCGGGAGACCTGGATGGAGCTCCTAGCTCCTGGCTTTGGCCTGGCCCAACCCCAGTGTAGTGGGCATTTAGGGAGTAAACTAACAGATAGATCTTTCTTTCTGTCTCTCCTTCTCTTTGAAAGTTATTCTGCCTTTCAAATAAAACTTAAAAAAAAAAAAAAACAAGCAAACAAACAAACAAAAAAAAACATGAGTTACAAAGATAGCATAACAACCTGGAAAATACTTACAATAAGCTGTCACTGAATTATAGGTATGGTTACGCCATGGGAGCAGGGGCAGTTTGAGGATACCCAGGCCCAGTAGGAAGACCCAAGGGAAGGTCACCAAAGGACTAATGGTGACTGTATTGCCGTGCTGAGACTAAACGTGGCTTTTTTTTTCTCTTTCCCTATTTTCCAATTTTTCTTTAATGAACCCTTTTTGCTTGTGTGTGTGTGTGTGTGTTATTTTTTCCCGCAAATGCTTTGGTGACACACACTTACAAAAGGGGAAAGTTTACGTGAAAGTGAGGGCTGTTGAGTGACCTTTTCATGGGTCAGATGGGAATTCTGTCAGAGAGCTCTTCTGACAAACTGTCTGTTTCAGCAGCGCTGGGAGGATTCAGTAGTGAATAGCAGTCTGCTGGACACCACCCCTAATGTCGAGTCCACATGATAGCGATGCCTCTCAGGCTGTGCCTCACATGTAGCAATGCAGACGGTAAGGTGCCTGTCAGTGAGTGTTGTTCTTTAGAAACTGTGTCTTTGAGATATCATTTGAAGACTGCTTGGGATTATGGCTGTCTGCATACTAACTATCCATCTTTTGGAACCCGCTTGGTTTTTATTGCATTGTAGCAAAACTAAAAGTTCATGTAAAGTTCATTTTGACCCATGGCCAAAGCTCTGAGCAGTTCTGAGGTTTCTTCTTGAGTTCTTACCATCTCAACCCAGTTTCTTTAGCTCCTAATCCACTCTTCCTTCTGTTCAGGAGAGCTCTAGCATTAGCCTTTCCTTCCTTATTGTCGTCCCAATGTTTCTATTCATATTCAACTTCTACTTGTACAAACTTGACAGTGTGCAGGGCCCGGTCTCTCACATCCTGCAGCTTGGCAGCATGTTGCTTCGTTTTGTCTCTATCTGCACTTTGGCCAGGTCACTCTGAGATTTATTATTATTATCTTCTCAGCTGTTAGCGATAGACATGCTTGTAGAAAAGACATCGTGGCCTTTGTTGTGTCTGGGGCTTGTGTGTAGAGTTTGTTTGGATCTGGGTTGGTTTGCTTTTTCTGTTTAAACCTTAGATTGTGTCTCTACATAGAAACTTCATCCAGCTACCAGGCTGTGCTTCTGCAGTGCAGTGATCAAACAAAATCATCAATCTGGTGATTCTGGCTTCTATTTGGCTTGAAGGCTGATTTCAGGAAGGCATGGTTTTCTTCCTTTGCTGACTTATTTGCTCAGCAGATGGGAGAGTGGAAGACTTGGCCTACTTAAAAAGTATTAAGCTGTTGAGGTCTTCTAAAGAAAATCTTTTCTGGAAGGTCCTTTAGAAGCTATTTAGCCCAGCTCCCTTATTTTACAGATGAAAAACCTGGGGCCCAGAAGGAAGACATGGCTTAACCTAGGCTGTACAGTGACTTAGTGGGAGAGAATGCACTGGAATAGTTCTGCGTTCCCAGTCCAGCATTCTTTCCATGTGCTGCTGGCTGTCTTCCCGGTGCGGGAGAGCAGGTTGGTGCTGACCGCAGGGCCCTGCTGACTGCAGTGGCTCATCCTGGCGCTGTGGGAAGCACCGCCGTCTCTGCTTACTCTGATTCCGTTTTTGGGAAGCAGTACTAGAGTTTCTATAGAAGATTTATAATAAAATCTGCAATTTTCCCCAGTTTCTTACCTTTTTTTTTTTTTTTTTTTTTTTTGACAGGCAGAGTGGACAGTGAGAGAGAGACAGAGAGAGAAAGGTCTTCCTTTGCCGCTGGTTCACCCTCCAATGGCCGCCGCTGCAGCCGGCGCACCGCGCTGATCCTGGCAGGAGCCAGGAGCCAGGTGCTTTTCCTGGTCTCCCCTGGGGTGCAGGGCCCAAGCACCTGGGCCATCCTCCACTGCACTCCCTGGCCATAGCAGAGAGCTGGCCTGGAAGAGGGGCAACCGGGACAGAATCCGGCGCCCCAACCGGGACTAGAACCCGGTGTGCCGGCGCCGCAAGGTGGAGGATTAGCCTATTGAGCCACAGCGCCGGCACCTTTTTTTTTTTTTAAAAGATTTCTTTTCTATTTATTTGAAAGACAGAGTTACAGAGAGAGAGAGGTAGAGACAGAGAGTGAGGTCTTCCATCTGGTGGTTCACTCCCCAAATGGTGGCAATGGCAGGGGCTGGGCCAGGCCAAAACCAGAAACCAGGAGCTTATTCAGGGTCTCCCATGTGAATGTAGGGGCCCAAGCACTTGGGCCATCTTCCACGGCTTTCCCAGGCCATAGCAGAGAGCTGGACTGGAAGAGGAGCATCCGGGACTCGAACCGGTGTCCATATGGGATGCTGGCACCACAGGCAGATGCTTAACCTACTGCAGGAAGCACCAGTCCCCTAAGTTGCCTCTTCTAACTTCACTGTTTCTCTCCTGTGTGGCCTGCAAAGAAACTGTGAAGAAGGAAAGTACGTAAATTATTTGCATAAAGAGGCAGCTTTTCACTAGTGTTTGCCTTTTTAAACTGTTGCTAAATTTAAATTTAATTTCAAAACACTTAATTCATGAACCAGTTCCCGGGACTGGTTTGCAGAATGATTTTCTGTTTTGTGTGCGGTTTTTGGTTTGTTTGTTTGTTTGTTTGTTTGTTTTTGACAGGCAGTTAGACAGTGAGAGAGAGAAAGACAGAGAGAAAGTTCTTCCTTGCGTTGGTTCACTCCCCAAATGGCTGGCACACTGTGGCCGATCTGAAGCCAGGAGCCAGGTGCTTTTTCCTGGTCTCCCATGCGGGTGCAGGGCCCAAGCACTTGGACCATCCTTCACTGCCTTCCTGGGCCGCAGCAGAGAGCTGGCCTGGAAGAGGAGCAACCAGGACAGAATCCGGAGCCCCGAGCAGGACTAGAACCCGGGGTGCGGGCGCCGCAGGCGGAGGATTAGCCTAGTGAGCCATGGTTCCGGCTGCAGAATGATTTTCTTAAAGGGCTTTTGTGTGCTCCTACCCTGAAGTGAGTTTGTGAGATGTAGCCTTTTGTGACTCCAGGTCATGACTGTGTCAGTGTGTGAGAGTAAGATTGAGAGCATTTTGTGTGCTAGTAAAAGCTGCTTTGAGCTACATGCTGAGCAGCTTGTAGATCTTGTCGTGCATCCCTGTTGCTGCCTCCCGCCTCAGCGTGGCACCGTCTCTCCCAACAGCCCACTCAAGTGTACTTTTAGTGAATGTGTTTTGTTGGCCTGTTTTTACCTTTCATTGCTTCTTCTTGAAGAGCGCAGGTCAAAAGCCCTTTATTAAGCTGGAAGAATTGTGGGCTTTCTCTGCCCTGCATTTCCTTACTTGTGGGATGAAAGCCAGCTCTTAACTTTGGAATGATTCATTGAAAGAAGTGAGAGTCATTTTGTGGTAGAATCCCCAACACGTCTCCCTCACTCAGGAGCATCTGTGCAGGGGCCAGCGTTAAATGTGAGTTGTCAGCACTGACAGTCCCCATCCCCAAAGAAGAGGAGAGTTTTCACATCATACAAACCAAAGCAGAGGATTAAACTGGGGAAATGGCCAGGGGAAGGAGTAGGTGCCAAGGAACCTGTTTCCCTCAGGACTTCTCAGTCACCTCCATTCCTTGAGTAGTGTCTGTGGCCCCTCTGGACGCCCAGTAATAAAACAGCTGTATGAATGCACAGAATAGAAGGTAGGTGAAGCACTTGTCAGTTCTCGCCACTTCCGACTTGCTAGTGATGGACTCCTTTAAAAATAGTTTGTTTGATATGAGGTCACAAATTATTTACATGAAATCATAGAATAACAGTGTTTCTTTTTTCCATAACTGATATGTGGTTTATTTATTTTTTTACCCAGAAACCTTTTATTTAAAGTATACAACGTTCATGTATTTCATAGATACAAATTTAGGAACATAATGCTTCTTCCCACCCTGCCCTCCCTCCCACCCACGCTGCCACCCTTCTTCCTCTTCCCTCTCCTATTCCCGTTCTTATTTTTTACTAAGATATATTTTTAATTAACTTTCTAAACATAAGATTAACCCTATACGAAGTAAAGAATGCAACAATAGTATGAAAAAAAAGACTTTCCTCAACAGTCAAGACAGGGGCTGTTCAAAGTCATCACATCTCAAAGTGTCAGTTTCACTTCTGTAGATTACCTTCTAGGTGCTCTATTAGTTACTACAGATCAGGGAGAACATATGGTATTTGTCCTTTTGGGACTGGCTTATTTCACTAAGTATAATGTTTTCCAGTTGCATCCACTTTTTTGCAAACAACAGGATTTTTTTTTTTTTTTGACAGATTGAGTTAGACAGTGAGAGAGAGACAGAGAGAAAGGTCTTCCTTTGCCATTGGTTCACCCCCCAAATGGCTGCTACGGCTGGCACTGTGCCGATCCGAAGCCAGGAGCCAGGTGCTTTCTCCTGGTCTCCCATGCGGGTGCAGGGCCCAAGCACTTGGGCCATCCTCCACTGCCTTCCCAGGCCACAGCAGAGAGCTGGACTGGAAGAGAAGCAACTGGAACTAGAACCCAGCACCCGTATGGGATGCTGGCATTGCAGGCGGAGGATTAACCAAGTGAGCCACAGCACCAGCCCAGGATTTCATTTTTTTCTTTTTTACTACTGTGTAGTATTCCATGGTGTACATATCTCTTAATTTCTTTATCCAGTCTTCAGTTGACAGACATGTGGGTTGATTCATATCTTAGCTACTATGAATTGAGCTGCAGTAATGGGTTATTAATTTTAGCAGCATGGAGATTATATAGACTAAGATTTCCTGTAATCTCTTTGAAGACAGGAACCATATCCTAAAAAGCTTTATATAGCCCTAAGTTACCTTGCATGGAATGAGCACTGTGAGTTGTTAGATGGATTTATGGAAGAGATGTGTCAGTTGATAATAAAAAATATTTTCCTGAGACCTTACATTCATAGGCTGGGATATTTTTTTTTTAAGTTTTTATTTATTTTATTTGATAGGCAGAGAGAGAGAGA